AGCCCGGGTCACTCCAGCGAGGTGATCAGCCCCGAGATCCTCAAGATGAGGGCAGCTCTCTTCTGCATCTTCACCTACCTGGACACCAAGACCCTGCTGCGGGCAGCCGAGGTGTGCAAGGACTGGAAGTTCGTGGCCCGGCATCCAGCCGTGTGGACACGGGTGCTGCTGGAGAATGCCAGGGTGTCCTCCAAGGTACCGGGGATGGGGATGGCACTGCCCGGGGCGAGACCTTTCTTCCAGAAAGGTGAAACTGTGCAAGCATCTCTCTTGTGTTGGTTGTCGTGCCGTTATGGTCGTAGGAACAGGGGTGCACACAGCTGTGTGCTTGCATCGGCGGCTGGTGCACGTTCATACACGCGTGCTTGTGGGCATGAGCTCACATATGCACACATGTTCACGTGCTTTTGTGGTCACACCCGCGGTTTTCTTGCATGCGTTCTTGAGTGACCTCTTACGTGCATTTTCACATATTTATGGGGGGTGTATGCGTGCAGAAACGCCTCTGTGTGTGCGCACAGACCTGCCCAAAGACCGGCAAGGATGGGTGGCGTGGGCCATGCTAAGGGTGTCCCCTTCATTGACGGCCACCCCTGTCCCCCCCAGTTCCTGGCCATGCTGTCCCAGTGGTGCACCCAGATGCACTCCCTCACCCTCCAAAACCTCAAGCCACGCCAGCGAGGGAAGAAGGAGAGCAAGGAGGACTACATGAAGAGCACACGGTGAGTCCCCAAATCCCACAGCCAAAGCCTTGGGTCCTCAGGGATGATGATGCTCCATGAGCCCCAACGTCCCATTTCCACTGGTGGATGTTCATCGCACACCGGCTCCCGCTGTGGGTTTTGGGCATCCCGGAGCCATGGATCCCCATGGGACACGTCACCCTCCTGGGGTGGCCATGGGGACTGTGAGCATGGGCACCCGTGCCTAACCCTGCCTCCATCCCCGGCAGGGGCTGCCTGGAAGCCGGGCTGGAGTCCCTGCTGAAGGCGACGGGCAGCAACCTGCTCATCCTCCGCATCTCGCACTGCCCCAACGTGCTGACGGACCGCTCGCTCTGGCTGGCCAGCTGCTACTGCCGAGCCCTGCAGGCTGTCACGTACCGGTAAGGAAGGATGGCCACCGGCATCCCACCTTGCCCATGGGGATTGTGTGGTTCCCTGGCTGGGAGAAGGCGGGGAACATCCATAGGATGTGCTGGGACCCCCCCTGAAGCCCATCCTCATTCCCTGTCAGACCAGAGCCTGTCTGGCCAGGTGCAAAGGACCCACTTTTCCATGTCCCAGCGGCAACTCTAGTGTCCAGTGTCCCCAGTGCAAGCTATCCTTGCAACTTTCATCCTCTCCTGGCACGTTCCCATGCAGATGTTTCCCTTCCAGCTCCATTCCCACCGTCCTGTTACCCATCTCACCCCAACTGGAGGCGTGACCGGGGTCTTGGTATGGGGACACTGCTTTATGTTAGGGAAGGGTGAAGAAGAAGTGCACGCACCAGTACTGGGGTCCAGTGAGGTCCCACCTGACTGTCACCCCCTGACAAAGGCTTCTAACGAGGAGAAGAGACTTTGGGGTCCCCTTGTCCTGGAAGGGAGGAACAGCTCTGCCACGGGATTGCTAAGACCCCACTTGGAGTCCTTACCCAAGATCAAGGACACAAAGCCCGTGACGGTGTAGGTTCTGGAGGAGGTCACAGGTCCTGGAGGAGATCACTTGTCTGCTCCTTGGTCTTGGCCACCTTCCGAAGAGGCTCTGCCTCCTGTGGAGACAGGATTTCCCTTTCCTACACACTGAAGGAGGATGATCCTTGCTCCACTAAACCCTGCAGCCAGCCACTTCAGCCTTGGTACCCATTTCACCTGCAGCCGATGGGTGTCCTTGTCCAGCCCAGGAAGGAGAGTCCTTCAGGTGGGAAAGCACACCCAGCCGGCTCCTCTCTTTCGGACCAAGTGAGCTCAGACACGGCTCTGATCTGGGATCCCACACCACCAGGCAGCCCAGTGCTGCTGGGTTTGACCCAAAGACTCCTCCATCGGCCCTTCCAAGGGCGTTAGAGCAAGCCCAAGCCCTCCTGGCACACTGCTAACCTGTGACTCTGACTCACGCGCTAATTAACCCGCCGCACTCGCGAGGGGCTCTTGGCAGCCTTCTTCAGTGGAGACGTGTGAAACGCTCAAGATAACACCCATCACTTATTTTTAGGCTTGCCTGAAGTTTTGAAGTAGGTCATTTAGAGTTAGGAAGTGCCGTCTCGGTCTTTGGGAGGCAGCCTGGTGTGCTGAAATGGCCAGGGGCCTCTGTTTGGGCTAGTGACATCAGGGTGATGCTCTCTGACATCTCTCCTCCATTGACTCGGTGCAGGGAGCCGACGGCATCAGCGAAAGCTCCTCTGAGCCAGCGGCACAGAAGTTGGGTGGCAGGCAACGTGGCTGCGCCCGGTCAGTGCCGTGACTCATGATAAACCTACACCTCCACTATGCCCCGGCACAAATCCAGCAGCACCCCATGAGGTCTGTTTTGATGCCTCCAAAAAGACCAAGGAGAAACCCACAGCAAACCTCTGCAGCGACATTTGGCCAACAGCCACCTACAGACGTGGTAGCCCAACCACAGAGCTGGCGCAGAGGCCACGGAGCAGCCAGTTCCCTTGGCTGGAAGTTATCACCCATCAGCTGAAACATCTTCACCACCTCCTGGCACCTTCCCTGTCCAGGCTGGGCAGGTGGCAAGTGGAACCAGCCCCGTGGGATCTGCAGGGACGTTATATTTGCTCTGCAAGGGTACATGGCCTGGCAGTCTCGGTTCAATCACTTGCCACCTTTGCACCTGGATGACTTCTGCCTTCACCTTCAACCTCACCTTCAACCATCAACCTCACCTTCAGCCTTTACCTCCAAACTCATCTTCAGCCTCACCTTCTTCCCTTTTTCTTGACATTGCACATCCGTAGGCACAATTCCAGCTAGAAATGCCTTCAGCCTTCCTGCATGGGTTGGTGTTGGGACTCTCTGGTTCATGGGCAGATCGTGGGTTACAAATAAAGACCAGATTTGTACCTCCAGGTGCAGAGAGATGTAGCAGCGTGGAAGCTGCAGACACAGCCCCCAGGACGGCATCACTGTCGGTGGGGGCCACCACATGTCCTCTGTGTTGTTCCAGGAGCTCTACAGACCCTGTGGGTCATGAAGTCATCTGGGCCCTTGGAGCAGGTTGCAGGGACATCATCTCCCTCCAGGTCGCACCTCTGCATCCCTGGTAAGAGTCATGGTAGGAGGAGGGCAGGTTGAGTGTGAGGGGCACCACCGGGCTGGAAAGAAATTGGGTGCCAGATCCAGATTTGTTTTTTGTGGGGGGTCCTTGTGGGATGAGCAGGAATCCTGGAGGCCAGTTTGGGGAACTGGGAGCTCGGCCCCATCCCTCCCTGCAAAGACTGGGAGCTGTTGGGTGTAGGCATCTCCCTGCCGAGCCGGGAAATGTTTCTGGGGAGGCTGCTACCGCCAGAGATGAAAAGGGAGCCGTGATGGGTCTGGTAGGCGATGCTGAACATCAAACGCTTGTCTGAGCTCCCCACTGCTCATATAACAGCAGCCTGAAGGGCCTGGATGTTTTTAAAAGGGTGTCAAGTCGCTGCTTAGGCAGATGACTGGCGTTGCTGTCGCTTTGGAAAAGCATTTTGGGGGTGCGGAGGTGCTGGTAGATCTCTGCCCCGCAACGCCTGGGTGCTCAGGAGTTGATGGCTCCCAGGGCAGGTCGCTTGGCTCCTGACCTCCGTGCCATGGGACTGCCTCCGGGGCATTTCTTCTTGTCCTGGGAGGTTTGTTGCAACGTCATGTCACCCGCCAGCCTGGATCGAGGTGTACAGAGAGGGTTGTCTTTCAGCAGAAGATGGATGTCAAGTCCCTGATGGATTGTTTCTTCCCTGGGAGAAACACCCCCCGGCATGTAGGCTTCTCCACCTGAGCTAGAGGTCCAGGCTCCTGCTGCTGGTTTGATTGCCACAAGCAACAGAATTCAGGGCCTGATTCAGATCTGCAAAGGTGGAGGGTTTGGGGCAGAGGGACCCCACTGGGCGCGTGGACCTGCCCTGTCCTGGTTGCAGCACAGCCCAGGGTGGTTGCTCAGATAGAGATGTCTGCTCTGGAGACACCTCCTTCCCGTGTGGCATCCCCCGGGTTGGTGGGGTGGGAGAGGTCCCAATCCCACCCCACTTGCAGGAACATTCGTGGAGGCAGGGCGGGGGTGATCTTTTCTTCCAGCCCTCCCCAGCTCTTTTTTCTTCATCTCCCCAGCCAGCAGCCGACGCGTTTCAGCAACCGCTGCCTTCAGATGATCGGTCGGTGCTGGCCGCACCTGCGGGCGCTGGGCATTGGAGGGGCAGGCTGCGGCGTCCAGGGACTGGCATCCTTAGGTAGGCAGCTCTCCTCCGATGGCACGAGGAGAAGGGGACCTTGCTGGAGGCAGGGTGCAGCCCTAGGAGATGCTCCATGGCGATCTCAATGGAGAAGCCCACCCCAAGGACCGTGGGGCTACCCTACCCCTCCTTGCTGCCACCCATCCCTCCTACCACCCCATCCCCTTCGGCTGTCCTCATCCCTTCCCCACGGGGTGCTGACGGTGGGTGCTCTGTCCTTCCAGCCCGAAATTGCATGCGGCTTCAGGTCCTGGAGCTGGACCACGTGGCGGAGATCAACCAGGAGGTTGCGGCGGAGATGTGTCGAGAGGGGCTGAAGGGGCTGGAGATGCTGGTGTTGACCTCCACGCCGGTCACCCCCAAAGCCCTGCTGCACTTCAACAGTGAGTAGCAATGTCAAGGGGGGGAGTGCATAGCATCCTCCATCGACCAAAAAGCCACCAGATATCCAAATCCATGAACCAGATCCTGCCCTCCAGCCTCACCCACAGGAACCCACTGCCAACACTGGAAGGTGCTGGGAGCTCCAGGGTAGAAGGTTTCTAAGAGGAGATCCAACATTCCCCTGCCAAGGATGGGTTAAGAAGAGCTGATCTTGCCTTGGGCCGTAGGGAGGATGGAGACACTCCCTCCATTTCCCCACCATGTAACTGAGGCTTCAATGTCCGTGGCACAACTGAGGTTCACCCTGATGTAACTGCGTTTGGAGTTACTCCATTTATTGAAGCCATTTGCCAGCTCTGGGGGCAAAGAGGTCAGGCAGGAGGGTCTGTTTGAGGTGCGGTTCCTGGTGGTCATGGCACCTGTGACCGTGGTTGGACCTGCTGGGAACCCACCCCTCTGGGAGGAAGAGTAAGGGTTTCCCAAGGAAGCGGTAGGACTGCTGATTTGGGATAGGACAATCACGGACCATCTCGTACACCGCTGTCCTCCTTACAGAGCTCTTGGTCACCAAAAACGAGTCTCCTCCATCTTCAGGGTGAGGTTTCCCCAAATGCACAAGGCCTTGAGGAGCACTGGGTGGGTTTTAGGGTCCACGCCGGCTGGGCGGGGGGCTGTCTGCCCCCCAGGTATGGCGAGGCCAGGCTGTATCTCTGCCCCCAGGTGTGTGCCGGAACCTGAAGTCCATCGTCGTGCAGGTGGGCATTGTGGACTACTTCAAGGAACCCCACAGCCCTGAAGCCAAGAAGATGTTTGAAGAAATGGTGAACAAACTCCAGGTAAAGGATGCCAGTCCCATGTGTCACCAGCCCCGTGTCCCCGTGGAGTTTGGGGACAAATTCTTGTCCACCACGGTAGTGCCTCAGTAGAGAACATTTTAGCTCGCTAGGGACACCCTGAAGGCTCAGTCTCCTTCAGACACACGTGCCCCAAAGGCTAAAACAAGATCTAACGTGCTGTGATCCCTTCTCGTTGCTTTAGCCGGGATTTCTTCTCTGTGGGTCTGTTCCCCGGGGACAGGGCTGTTGCCTCCCTCACCGGGCAACTTACTTGCTGAACTCTGCCAAGTGATTTAAAATCCAGCCATGAAAGCAGAAATAGGGTTAATTTTCGTTACGCTGAGTCACAGACCTTGCTTGGCTTGTGATGCTCAGCAGGGCTTGGGCTGTCCTTGAGCTGTCTCCAAGGCAGTTATCTCCATCTGTGTCCAAGGGGAAAAATTAGGTGTTTCCAGTTCACTTCATCCTCCATTTGACTTCATCCTGCAGCAGGTTGGGCTCCCATAGGGTCGTGAGGTGAAACCCCCATGAGATGCAGGGCAGGACCTGGGGACGGAGACCCACCAGCGCAGTCAGATGGGATCAGAGGGCTCACACGATTCCTGCTCCACCACCAAGCCCTGGCATGGGAGCAACAGTGGGCAGGGAGACAGACCCATGTCCACCCCCAGGCTGGGGGGGTCACCTTCAGAGAAGAGCCCTTTTGGAAGAGCTTTCCTTGCTTGGCTGCCCACTGCCGCACCGTGCAAATCCCACCCGCCCTGTGGGTCAATCTTCTTTGCCACAAACTCCTACCGTCCCCTGGAAATCCTGGGTTTAACGCAGCAGAAACCAAATGCAGAGCTGGCTTCAAGGGCATGGGACTAGGAGGTGTTGAGCTACTCCTACAAGGAAGCCAAAGAGGGATGGGAGCAGGGTGGACCCCTTCCCATGGCGGGGATTTGGGATGTTCTCCCCTCTCCCTCACTCGACCTTGCTGGGTTCCCCACCAACCCCACTCTCTGCTCCTCTTCTAGGCCCTGAGAAAGAGACCCGGCTTCTCCAAGATCTTACACATCAAAGTGGAAGGAGGCTGTTAGACCTTCAGGGAACCACAAAGCACATTCCTTCCTCTGCCCGGCGGAGCCAGCGGCCCCGTGAAACCAAACCCACCGTCCGCCGCTCATCTGTTACCGGACCTGGAGCATGGAGACGCCGGCTCATGCACAAAGAAATCCCTAAACTCTTGCAGGTCTTAGTGACTGACAGCCGGACCTCGTCCCCGGGGCCAGCTCGCGGGCGAGAAGGTGCTACTTAAGGACATTTTTCGGCTGCCCAAAGAGGCAGGGCTACGCTCTTTCCCGGGAGAGAAGATGACTTCGAACGCCCACCCCGCGGCTGCTCGTTGCCAAGGATCCTGGTTTGGGGAATGTCTTTTTCTTCCAACTCTGTTTCTGCAGGGGGGATTTTGGCCATCGGAGCTGAGGATGGTTCAGCCCATCCCCGTGGGCTCTTTGCAGAGCGCTGGGCTCAGCATCGCTGCGTCACGGCTGGACCGTCCCCGTCCTCTCCATGGGATGATGGAGGTGGGGTGGGAAGGGGCCGTTCCTCCAGAGGAAACAATGCCCAGCATTTGGCCATCGGAGCTGAGGATGGTTCAGCCCATCCCCGTGGGCTCTTTGCAGAGCGCTGGGCTCAGCATCGCTGCGTCACGGCTGGACCGTCCCCGTCCTCTCCATGGGATGATGGAGGTGGGGTGGGAAGGGGCCGTTCCTCCAGAGGAAACAATGCCCAGCA